AGGTGGGCTGAGGAAGCACATGCTGGCTGAAGTTGGTGGGTGCAGATAGAAACAAGAGAAAATTCAGATCCCGTGCTGTGATGAACTAAAAAACAGGTAAAGGGGAAAGGAGGGGCAGAAGCATGAAGCCTAACTGAACTTAGATATTACAACTTTCTGAAGTCTGTCTGACTTCATAACTTTCTCCCGAGTTACAAACAGTGGCCCTGGAACATGAGTGGAGAAACCAGATGGTTGGATTTACTCAAGTTTGAGGATTCATGAAGATGGGGAAAGGTCACGGGAGGCAAAGAATTCTAGGACAGTAAACAGTGGAACATTAAAACAAATGAATGGCCATGAGGTCAAAATGGCTTTGGAAAGCAAGTGAAGTCAAAGCTGGGGAAATGAACTGATTGAACAGAGTTGGGTCATAGGCTTAGAGGTCATAAACAGGGCCAAGGTTTAGTTGAGTATGAATTAAAGGGAGCAGTTGAAAGATCAGTAGCATTGGAATCTGTTTGAGGTCTTGGTGGTGGTATAATTTGGAGAGATTGAGGCTGCTCACAACCTGCCACCCTCAATGCCCAGGTCTCCCCTTCCATGTCAACTCCAGCTTGGCTTTTAAAATCTTTCACACCCTGGCCTCTTCTTTCCTTCGCTGTCTTCTTCCTTCGCTGAAGACTGCCCTTCACATTTATTATAATGCCACAACTGTCCATCTTGCTGTTCGTTGTAGGGACATCTCAAGTTATGCCTTGCTCAGCTATGTTGGGAGGAAACAACAGAACCCCGAGTTCCAAATCAGGTCCTGCCCCTCGATCCAGCATTTTCAGGGCCTCCTCTCTAAGAATGCCTTCTCTCAACTCTGCTGCCTGATTTCCTTCCCAATCCTTTAATGTATCTATTTTCCATTGGTCTTGTCCTTGGCTGTCTTTTCCTTCCATACACTCTTCTTTCTCTTAGCAATCTCGTTCCATCCCATTGTTTTAACTGCCACAACACTACAAATCACTACCAAATCTGTCTTCTTTCTTGAACTCTCTTGTTTGCAGGACATTTCCATCTGGATGCTTGTCTTTTCCTCAAGCATGTTCCTCCTTGTGAATTATTCCTCCTTGTGGCACCACCTTTCACCCTGTCTCCCACATTCATAACCTTGGGGCTAGACTTGACTCTTTCTCCCTCACCTTTCATATCCAGTCTCTTATTCACATTCAGGGTTTTACGGTGTACAAAGCACTTTCCATGCAACAATCTCTGAAAGAAGGTAGTGGAAGTATTATCACCCTCAGTTGACAGCTAAGGAAACTGAGGCTCTGAGAAATTAAATGCCTTTCTCACCATCACACAGCAAGTGTCAGGGCCAGGAACCGAATTTAGGTCCAAGTCCAAAGAACTTTCTACATTACCAAATTGGGTTATTTTACCTTCATGTGTAGCACTACCTTTATCTTCTCTGTTCTTAATGCTATTATCCCCAGGATAAGCTCTTTTACTGACCCACAGAAACTATTCCAGTAGCCTCTTAAAAGACTTTCCCAGGGGGCAGCTAGGTGGCGCAGTGGATAGAGCACCGGCCCTAAAGTCATGAGGACCTGAGTTCAAATCCGGCCTCAAACCAAACACTTGACACTTACTAGCTATGTGACCCTGGGCAAGTCATTTAAACCCCAAATGCCTAAAAAAAAAAAAAATTTCCCACCTCCTGCTCAACCCTCTAATCTAGGATTCATTCAATTGCCATATTAACTTCCTGATGCACATGACTAATTCACTGATGAGCTCCAAATTCTTTAGTGACCCCTTACTAGTCCTAAATAAAGATCAAACTCCTCCACCAGGCGTTCACCTCTCCACACAACCAGGCATCATCCTGATTTTTCAGTCATACCCACCACATGCCCTACCCTCAAGCCAACTATCATCCCCTTAACAGACCCTCCTATTCTCTGCCTTCCCTTTGCTGGCATGGTACCATCCCACTCTGTGACCGAGCCAATTCTTAGCCCTCCTGAAAGGCCAACTCAGGATTCCCTTCTCTGTGAGGCCTTCCCTGATCCCTGGGCTCACTAACTGCCATTCCCCTTGCAACTTTGTTTTACCACTTTCTATTGCTATATTGAGATAAAATAGCGATATGGTTATGTTTTGGAGATTTGTCAGCTCTAAGTGCCACGAGAATGGGATCGCATCTTATCTACAATGTGCACCACTTCCAGAACTGGGCACTTTTTGTGCACACAGTGGGTAAACACATTAAGCGTTGATTTAGTGAATAGCACAAAATCATGAGTGACTAAGTCAATCCTCTGGACCCAGAAGTTCTCAAATAGCATAACTTTGCCTTCTTCACCCTCTGTAGCTTGCTACTCTCACCACACCACATTTTAGGACTAACAGCAAATGCTTTTTAGAGTTACACTTACATTGTTGAGACACTGGCAGACTTGATGTTTTCAATCGACTGGTGAACTTAGTCCTGTAAAGTAATAAGCTGGAAGTTTATGGAGTAGCCAGACCACCCTGAGCTGCTCGGAGGCCTCCTTATCTCCCGTGTTATTCGAGTAAATCTAGACAACTCTGTCTACTACTAGGCTATACCTGTTGGTCACCCCATCCCTCATTCATCCTTCCTCAAAGCTGTCTGACTGTTGGTGCATTTTGGATGGCAGGAACCCCATAGTTCAACAACAAGAGAGGCTCTGCTTGTCCTCAGGGACGTCGGAGGCTTCTTGTGACCAATAGCCTCGCCTAGGGAAGATAAATCACCAGTTTGGGCTCATGTGACACAAGCAGGGCTGTGAAACAATTCTCTAAGCAAGTATCACTTTGACAAGAACTTACTGATTTTTAAATTGCCACAACAAATTTTCATTCCATGCCCTTCTTCTAAAAGGAAAAAAAAAATCAGACAATGATTAAAAGTTTTATATTTTAATAAAACTGTGTTTTTAAAAATAATCCTTCGATACTACTGTTGGTCTCAATTTATTTATCAATAAGATCAGTGATATCAGACTTTGCAAAATTTACTTCCTTTAAACAGTAAAAATGCATGATTCTGGGACACAGCTTTTGGGGGACTAGATTTTTAAAACAACATCATTTTAGGAGACAAACAAATTACCATCAACTGACCATTTTTTCTCAAGTCCTCCCTGATATCCAAAGCTTAATAACTCTGTCCTCACTACTGTGAGATCACAAAACTCAGGAGTCTCATCTCTCTGGTTTTCAGGACAATACTAAATGCTGGTTGGTAGTTTGTTTTTTCAAACAAAATTTTTGCAGGAAATAGTAAAAACACCAACAACTCTAGTTTCTGATTCTCATAAAACACCATCCTATAAAGATTCTTCTAAGGGTTATCTGGAATAAGCAGATTCATTACAAGATTTATTCTAATTACATTGCTACACATAATCCTAAGAACATACACTGTGGAAGAAACAAGAACAATCTTTTGATTTTATTGGTGTTACAGAATAGTTCTAGACAAGTTAAATACAAATATATTTCTTAATTGTATATATGCGAATTTTTACAAACACACACCTCTGAAACATTTATAAAAATAAAAAAGTGCAAATATCTCCCTTAATTAACTTGCAGATTCCTACTGACAGCTACAAAAAATGATAAATCATCACACAAAATACTGAGCTAATACTGAGTAACAAAAATAGTTCTAGTTTTGTTTTGTTTTGTTTTAAAAAAGAGTATTTTAGCATTCAGGCTATCTGGTACATATACTATCTTTGCATTCTGCACAGAGTTCCAAGGCAAAGATTGCCCTTGTTTTTATGAAACACCAAAGAGGAGGACCTGTAAGGCGGAATGGACACAGGTCTTTTGCTCTTTTTCACAGTTACAGCAGTCTTCGACTCCTTAGGTGGAGGAATGTAAATGGGCTTCCATGGGATTGGATTATAAAAGCTTGGCTGTGGGCAGGCAATTCCACTGTAGTAACCTAAGAATGAAAAATAGACTGATTACTCTCCAAAGGCTCTCATTGTTTAAAAACCCAAGAAAGATAGTAAATCATTTCCAATGTATATAGGAACCAGATGGAAAAACAATTTAAAATTAGCACCTCATAATGGAATAGAAGTAAAGCCTCACTGATTTGGAGTAACTGGAGATAGCTTACTGTAAACCAGTCTGCTTTAGGAAAAGTATGAATTTGAGCATAATGTAGCTTTCCAAATACAGTCAGTCTCAAAGCAATTATTAAGTGCCTACTACGTACCACGCATTGTGCTAAGTGCTAATGTGACATCCTGGAGCTTAACCAATAAATATTACTACCAAGACATCATATGAGTTGAGTTAGTTAAAAGCCAAACTGGCAAGGTTAAAGTTGAAAAGAGCCTTCATTATCTTGACTCTCTTCTTTGAAAATGTTACTGATTTTAGCCTCAAGGTCTCACAAGACCCTGAAAATTTACAAAGAAGTAATGATACAGAACATTTAACTCAACATGAATCACATACGTTGTCTAAATTTACTTAACGCCTACACTGGTGTCATTCAAATTAGCAAGGATTAACTGCATTACTATAATTTTAATACACAATTAGTTATCAACAGTTCCTATTGCAACGAATGTATGCAATTAAATGAAATTATGGCTCCTAAGAGCTAAAATACAAAACTGTGAAAAAAGGCCAGATGGCAAATACCATGCAAAGCCCAAAATCATCCTCCTTTCACATATTTCACTCAAAATATGTTTTAAAAAAATTGACCATGATTTGGATACAAAGACTACCACAGAGCAGCTTAAGATTGCTAGAGCTGAGATGGTATAGCATGGTGGAAAGAATACAGGCCAGAGAGTTCAGGGAAACTTGGCTGAATTCTATTTCTGATGCTCACCTTGTCATCTGAGAGTCTCTAAAGGTCAAAATCCCAATATATAAAATGAGAATAATAATAGTACCTACAGTACCTACCTCTGAGTTGTACTCGGTCTTTATAAGGATCAAATGAGATATGTATATAAAGTGCTTTTTTATTAAAGCACTAAACTAATGTACTATCTTTCAGCTGCTATGATAATGACAGTATTCTTACATAAATATTTCTTACAGAAAAAAACTAGGTGATATTAAAAAAAAAAGCTATGAATAGAAATTTTTTTAAAAAGAAAAAATCCATTTGAGAAGCCACCCGGCAATTTAACTAATTTAACGATTAGGTCCTGATTGGTAAGGGGATACTTAGTCAAAGCTTTGCCTCTAACATTAACTCCTCTGATTATACTGGTGTTGTTTAATTATTACCCTTCTTCAAACAAGTAGAAACCAAACAAGTAAACTCAGTTCAGTATCTGTAACTGATGACCTCTGTGCCATGCATGAGAGGCCTACGCCCTGACAGCAGGAATGTGTCAGTCACACAATGGCAGTCCCCATCAAGAGTGAAGATATTTCAACACACACTTCACCACGGTGGTCAAAACAAAGTCTGGAATATGTTCTATTGTGTGAACACAACAGAATGGGGGTATTTTTAATAAATCACTTAGACAAGTAAAGGCAGCTGTCAGCAAGTTATGAGCTTCCAACAGAAAGCACAAAGAAACTATGTCCCCACCATCTACAATCAGACCAAGCATAAAGCATAAAAAGCAACTGGTTTTCTGTCTGGTTCATGGGCTGTCTGGTGTTTGGAGTTACAAGAATAATCTCCCAAAGAAATCTGTAGCTCTGATTTAGATAGGGGTAAGAAGAGTAGCAAACACGAAACCTCTCCAGAATAACTCTTCATGGGCCAACTGGAAGAAATGTCAAATTTTATATTACGTTTTTACCATCAAACATTCTCATTGATTTAAAAGCATAGTTTTATAACTGCTTTAAAATTCACAGCTGCTTTTAAAAAGAAGTCCAATTCTGATTCAGAAAAACACTAAGTTTGTAATTGCATATAGATCTTAGAGCTAGCTTCCTGAAATAGTAATTTTAGATAAAATGTTTGTTTTTCATAAGCTATTTTTTTCAAGAGGAAACAAACAACATGAAACTTCCTCCCCCAACCATGAGCTCATTTGCCTTTATTTAGGTCACGGAGAACAAGAACTAACCTGTCAGTTTCCCATTGGCATAGCCATAGCTTCTCGGAATGAGACGAGGTTTGTTTTTCACATTTTGCAGCCATTCCTTAAACTTCTTTTCAGAGATTTCTTTTTTTTCCTGTTGTTCAGCAAGCCGCTGCTTTTCTTCTTCCTTAAAATGATGAAATCAAAGACCTCTTAGAGTAGAGTATTCAAATCTACATGAGATTTGGTCATTCCACCCAAGAGACTATTAGCTATCTACTTCAACCATTCATTAGCTATAAACAAGAGTGAAATTTACTCTCACCTGGGACACAGTGAAAGGGTCTTTCCTCGGTAACACTTAAGTCACCAAGCCCAAGAGGGAAACTGTCATCTACTTTTTTAAAAATATCTGTTTTGACCATTATAATGACACAACTCCATAACATAATACCACAAAATGTTCCAAAATAACCTAAAATAATTTGCTTTAAACCTAACAAAACCCCACTCTCAACAAACACAAAATGCCAGGCAGTATAATGGTCCTCAAAAGTAGAATATTTTCTATGTCTTAAATATAGGACTCAAAGATAATGAACATCAAAGAATAACTTATCTCATGCAAACTACCTAATGTCTGAATACCTTCTCCTAAATAAACCAAGCTCACATGGACACCGAGAGATGAGTGCTTAGTTATAACCATTAAATCAGAATGGTCAAAAAAAAATTACAATGTTAACATTTAGACATCACCTAGCTGTTTGAAAGATGAGGGAATCTGAGGCCCAGAATGTTAAAAGCTCACACAATTATTGTGTGTCTATAGCAAAACCAAGGTTCGGGTCCGTGTTTCATGACACATCCCTCTGCGCCACTTTGGATCCATACCTTTTCCTTTTTTTTCCTCTCATGTTCTTCTGCCATTTTTTTCCTTAACCATTCTTTATATTTTTCTTTAGCTTTTTCTTGCAAATGCTCTTTCTCTAGGTCCTTTGCTGCTTTTTCTTCCATTTCTTTATTAAGCTTCCGTTCCCTTTCTTTTCTTTCCTTTAAAAATAAGAAGCACAAGAAAATCCTTCAAATTTGATTAACGACACACCTGATTCTGCATGTTCTTGTTATAGGCAAGAGACATCTAACATTCAATTCTGTACACTTCTAAAAATAGGTGGAAAACTAACAATTTCAAATGATAAAATTTGATTAAATTGGATTTCTTAAAAAAGACAAGACTATTTACTCCAGAAAGGAATTGTGCACATGTATGTTCCTTTGACAATGGAGTTTGTAAATATTAACATCTATACATCAATTCAACAAATATCTATTAACCACCTAATGTGCAAGGCCCCAGGGATTAAAAAAACAGAAATAAAACCTATCTCTGACCTTGTGAGTACACATTCTAATGAAGGCGCAGGGAAAGAATGTATTTCAACATGTACATAAGCAAAAATTATAAAAAGTGATATAAAAATTATTACACTATATCGACTGATTTCACTTTCTACTTAGCATCCAAGTATTGTCAAATGCATGATTTTGCTACCACACATTAAACACCATTCCAAGGTAAGCTAAAGACAACCCAAACTTCTATCAGTACATTTCTTATACATCTTTTTTTTTAATGGGAAAAAAAAATCCATTAAAAATGATTTCACATAATGGAATGAAATGTTTCCTTTTTATTTGATAAGATAAATCTAATTCACCTACAAAAGTGCTCACATGAATAAAGACTAAGAGAACAATTTTCAGAATCTGGAAAGTGTAGGCAGTGTCATATCAACCACAGAATGCCAACCTCTATGTAGCAGAAGAAAGATGGGCTAAATTAAATTCCTTCCTTGAAAATCTGAAAAAATACATATTTTTATCTCCCCAAATAATAAAAAAAATCCCACTTAGTAATGTTCCAAATGCACAAAATGGCCAAGCACTACCCTATGAAAAGTGGAAACAGAGGGAGGAAAAGCCCCTTCAAGACCTCAACAGGAGGAAACAGAGGAAACAATCTACAGGCTTTACCTTCTGCAGGAAAGCTACTCAGTAGCTGTGCCTACTACAGCTTCAGGGGAGCGGAGGGAGAAATACTTCCAGCCAGACAACAATAGGCCACTAACACAGTAGCTCTGTTAGAGAATCAAAGAATCAGAGAGTTGGAAGAGACCACCCCAAGGGTCACTAAAACTAACCTCTCCCCTGACAGTTCTAAAACAAATAGTAGTGGACAAGCTTGAGACCCTGACCACCACTTTAGAACATCTGTTCTTTGAGAATGCTGTTAAAATTCCAAAAAAATCCTTATAAACCTTTAGTGCAACACAACTGATTAGATGGTTTCAGAGAATCCTGGAAAGGCTTGTATGAATTGATACAAAGTGAAGTGAGCGAAACCAAGAGAACAATTTATATAATAACAACACCGTAAAACAAACAGCTCTGAGAGACTTGGGAACTCGGACCAACAAAATAGCCAACCACAATTCCAGTACTTGGGATCAAACATCTACCCTACTTCTAGATAGGCTGAGAGCACAGATCACAGCCCAAGTGTGTAGGGGGGTGGGGGGAAGAGAATATGGCTAATCCAGGAATTTATTTTGCTTGACCATACATGTTTGTAACGGTTTTGTTTTTCTTGCTTCAGTGTAAGGGTAAGGGTAAGTGGGAGGAGAATTCAGAACGGAAAATCAAATCAAATCAAATATAAGGCAACTGATTTGTAAACTGAAAACTGCATATACAAATATATGAACAATTTATTGCTATAAATAAGATATAAATCTTATTTATATCAACTCAAAATTTTCCCTGTATAAATGGAGTGAGGAAAAATTGTCCAAAGCAAATATGGAAAAGGAATTGGCATTCTATATAGGAATTCTTCACTGGGACAAAAGAAGGCATAAAGACTAGAAACTACTTTTGTATAAAACACTAGAGAATTGATGTTTTAATAATATTTCCAACGGGGGGGGGGGGGCCAGCTAGGTGGCACAGTGGACAGAGCTCCAGCCTTGGAGTCAGAAGGACCTGAGTTCAAACCTGGCCTCAGACACATGACACTTCCTAGCTGTGTGACCCTGGGCAAGTCACTTAACCCCGCTTGCCTCAGCAAAAAACAGACCAAAAAACAAAAACAAAACAAACAAACAAAAAAAAAAACCAAGAGGGAAAACCTAGTGCAGAGAGTTAAGAAGTACCGGGAGATCAAAAAGCCTCAGAGTGCCTGATCTGCTTTGCACTTTACAGGGATAACTCTCCCTGAACTCTGACGGAGCCCAAGACAACACTCTATCAGGCAGAATCATCAAGGAAGACATTGATAGCTTATAAATAACAAAGAGGAAAGCAAGGTTTGGAGGGCAACAGGAGTAAAAGAAGAGAATGAATGTTTACAGTACTTAAGGTAGGGAAAAAGTTTAGAACAACAATGGAAAGAAACTGAGAGAAATGGCAAAAGAGGATTCCTGAATTATGAACCCAAACACTTAATGTTTAAACCTACAAATAAAAAATGTAAAGTGTGAGCTTTATGAGGACAGGTGTTATCTTCCGTGTGTGGCAGTCAGTGATGGGCATACAAAACGCTCTTCATACGGGTTAAAGGAATGAAGAGACTCACACTGTGTTGTCAGGTGAGGAAAAAGTAACAACACAGAGATGCTGTTTTCCAATTGGCTGTTACAGACTTCTGATCATACTACACAAAGAATGCTTTCCCTCTTGATTTTATTTATAGAAAACTTCCTAATAGCAAGGATAATCCATACTTATATCATGTTTTACAGTTACAAAGTACCTTACACGAATCTCATTGGAGTCTCTCACACCACGTATATGAAGTAGACAAGGCAGTTTTACAGATGAGGAAAGCAAGACTAAGAAAGTGCTCTGTGATTGGCTCAAAGTCATAAACTGGTAACAGGCTCGGCTGGGCCTGGCACTGAGCTCAGCTTAATCTAATGTTCTTTCCACTACACCAGATCTGAAAGTGATGCTTCCGGGGAAGCAAAGTACCCCACAAACACTGTTACTTAAGATTAAAACTACAAGTTTTTTCTTGCTGAAAAATCATGTCTTAAATATTGACTAACTGGGTTTAAGAATTATCTGGTGTTTTGATAAATACTATTACGCTCACGTCAATGGTAGCTTTTCTCCAGAAACACCTACTTTGTCTGCAGTTTTGCAACATGTTATTGAGTCAGCCTTGTAAATAAGGGACAGGTCCCTTAAAAGCACCTAGTAATCTGGGAGCCAGATGAGACAACTTTCTTCTGCAGTTCCTAGTCCTGAGAACATGTAAGTGAAGGTTTACTAAACTCTGTTTCTGCTCTTTCTGATTCTTTCTTTCCCTTCTTCCTCTTAATTTTTGCAGATATTCCTCTAAAAGGAGAGAGCTGAGGGAGGATAACCTTAGCAATGTATATGACCCAATTACCCACCCAAGCACCCCTCTACACCTTGCCTTTCTAGGACAGTAATTGCCCACTCTTCACAACACTCCTTTTAGCTTCTACAATTCTCCTTTTGGTCAGGCAAACAAAAGTCTACCCCACAGCAAGAGGAATCATAGTGGAAATAACAATAATAATAAATTGTTTATTGTTATTGTTAATGAGATAGGCTGCCTTTATTATATAACTCTACAAATATACATTGCCACACCAACCCTGCTGCATGTGAAATAATCAATCCCATGTTGTGGGAACTGTGGCATGGCTTTCATTTTAAAACATTTAAACATAATTCTCTTTGAATACAAAACAAGAATTATGGGCAAGAAAAAGAAATGTCCTTCAAAAAAAAAGAAGAGCTTAAATTAGTAAGACTGAACAGAAAGAAACATAGCCAAATGAGATGTCATTTCTTTTTAGAGTCACATTTCAAAAAATAGGCCAGTGAAAAGGATATCATGAACACCACTTGTCAGTTTGTTAGACCAAAGTGAAAATGACCTGAAGAAAGAAACCACCCCTGATATGTCTAAAATATGAACACAGGCTAAGGCAGCTGAGGACCACACATGGTGAATGTAAACAGGGAAAGAGGAAAAAATGAGAAGCCAGACAAGAAGAGAAGAACCAGGGGGCCCACTTTTGTAAATGAATGTTAAAACTGCCTAGGCTGGAAATCAGAAGAGATTTGATGGGCTTTAAGAAGGGAAGAAATAAAGTAAATCACAGGATCCTAGATCCAGAGCTGAAAGGGACCTTAAAGATCTTCTGGTCTAAACCCTTCACTTTACAGATGAGGAAACTGAGATTGAAATAAGTCACATGACTTATCCAGAGTCAAACAAAGAGTAAACAACAGACTAGCATTTGAATCCAGGTCCTCTGACTCCAAATAAGACGCACTTTTATCCAATGCCAGCCTGACCTCCCTAAATGACTGATGGTACCCTAGGGATTATGTGTGCTCAGGAATAGACATCTTCTTTCTTGAGCGGAAGCTTAATCTCTAAAATAAAAAGATGGGAAATTTGCCCTCACAGGATGTGTACGTCCAAAGGCTGTAGTATCCTCCTAATTAAATTCCAGCCGCAATTTCCATTCAAAGGAGAACAGTCACATTTCACATAACCAGATTAGGTTTAATGCCATGAATTAAACAGTAAATATATCACCTCATACCATTATATTGCATTCTTAGAAATCCAGCAACCTTGTTTAATTGATTACTGTGGTAAAATTAGCTTCATGGAATTAGAAGATAAGATAAGAGGCTTTTAGTAGGAAAAAGAATGGCATAGCACAATGTAGTTTATAAATATGAATTTCAAAAATGCATGAACCAAAAGCCTTTGTCATGTTCACACCTCCCTGGGTCACACAGCTAGCTAGCCAGGAGCTGAGGACGGGGGTGGGGGAAGTGGGACATGAGAACTGTCTTCAGCTACCTGACAGGCTGTCATATGAAAGCTATTTTGCTTGGTCCCAGAGAGGAAAAGGAGGACAAGAAGGAGGAAGTTACAGAGAAGCAGGCACTGGCTCAATAATAATTAAGGACATGGTAAAACTATGTGTGTTACTCAAATTTGTTTGTTATTGTGGAAGAAAAAAGTTTATCACAGATGGCAAAGAGCTACAGCACAGATTTAACACTCTCTTTAATTGAAATGAGCATCTAAAAGGGCTATGGAAAATTCCCTCAGATTTTAATAAGTATTTCTCATATACATTTCATATAATAAGTATTTCTCATAACAGAAAATGACCTTTTATGTTAACTCTCAATTATGCAGCCTGTATAAGTAGAACAGAGGTGCAGAGTCCAAAACAAAGTGGTACAAAAACATTTCTATTTAGCTTTAGAATGCAAAGACTAAAAATAACAAACTCATCATGTCATTTTTAACTGATCTTTAAGAAGGTGGTATGAAAGTAAGAGGGAAAATGTTAAGAAATTACATGAAAAACAGAGATGGATTGGCTACTCGTAGAGAGGATTAACATCATAAAATTCCATAGAGGAAGAAGTTGAGGCACACAGACTTTAAATGGACAAAATTAGTAACATAATTTGGAAGCCTCCTGAGGGAGGCCTTTATGGGCTGGGAGGGAGTCATCCTCCCACTCCCTCATCGAGGGAGAATTTCCAACAACGTGTTAAGTACTTAACCACCTTCAGAGGAGAGACAACATTAACATAAGGTAGCGTGGACTCCATTTTGTGACTTTCTCCAGTGAGCCTGAGCAGCCCAGGAGCAAGAATAAAGAGTTGACAATTATAGGTAGAATAGTGGACAGTCAGGAAAATGAGGGATTCCAGGGGGATGACCATTAGGTCAATCAAGGCTGGATATGAAGACAAGTGAAACCAGAGTGGAAGAAACGGACTGAGAGAATGAGGGGTGAAGGCACTAAAGGACACAATGAGGGCCAAAGGCAGCTCTGGGGGAAGTGAAGGAGTCAGAGAAGAGAAGAGGTTGTAGCCCAAGGAAGGGATTGGAGAGGTGGCAATCACGCCAGGATTGGGCTGGCTGAAGTATGATGGAAGGAGTTTCTGGAATAGGATGCTCTATATCAGGCCTGCAAAACCTGCAGCTCTCAGGCCGTTTGCAGCATGCCAAAGGATTTTGGAAGGCCTGCAAAAAATGTAGAGGAAAACATCTTTTGTATGTAGAGGAAATCCTCTGGTGGGCCGCAGGCCTGCTCTATATGGTCAGGGGGTTAAAGGGATTGTCACATCCAAGGTTAATGGCAAGGGATGAAGTGAGGAAAAATGCTATAAGTGAAGTGCTGAAGTCAAGCACAGAGATGGAGAGATGGCCTTCAGATCAGAAGATAACAACACCAAGAATGGGGAGAAGGGTCCTGTCTTGGCCCAGTGTCTGGGGTGGAATTTTGTGAGAGAAGACAGGACTCACAGGATTTCACTGATGGCAACAACAATTCCCATAATTTTACAGTTAAGGAAATTGAAGCTTAGAGAGCTTGTTAAGTGACATGTTCAAGGTCACATAGTGCATGTCAGGCCCTGGACTAGACTCAGATTCCCAGACTTGTGGTCCTAGGCCCCTGTCACTATACCTCACTACCAGCCAGACTCTGTAACTGGTTACACAAAGTATGACTGAGAAAAATCAAATCATTTTGCTGAAATTCAGAAGCCCCTCATTAGTATAAACTGATGGGATTTTACTGTAATTATGAAAAAGCACAATCATGATTACACTTAAGATAAAAATTAGTATTGAAAGCATTACCCCTTTAAGTGAATAAAATTAGAATGGAAAACATGATGTACTAAAAATTGCTATGAAAATGGCCATTTGCCATTTTATACTGTCATCCACCAAGTGAATGGATCATAAATGGATCACAAATGACTCATTCACCAAATATTTATTGAGCACCAACTACCAATTATCAACAAGCAACAAAAACCTAGGTAAGCCAAGTGTGGCTTTCAAGGAGTCTGTTATAGAAGGGTAAATAAGAAATGTTTAAAAAAAAAAAACTAACATCCAAGGCAGTATATGATAAGCACCACAAGAATGATAAAGAGTGTAGGCATTTACAAGAGGCTGGTTCAGGCTGAAAAACAGAAATGGGGAGGGTCAAGCTACAGTACCATAGAGAGGTATATTAGGAAATAAAATGAGAAAGATAAACTGAGGCCCTACTGTGGAAAGCCTTAAAAGAGGGGCTAAGGAGTTCAGACTTTATCCCACAGACAACAGGAATCTCATAGATGGCTTTTGAGCAGGCTGACACAATCAAAATAATGCTTTATCAAGAATAATCTAACAACAAATCCAGGATAGATTAGGAAACTATCATCCAGGAAAAAGGTAATAAGGATCTGAACTGGGTGGTAGTCATAGGAATACAAAGAAGTTAATACATGCTAAGAGATATTATATTGTTAAGGAAAGAAGACTAAGGAAGAGCTAGAAGGGAGAAGAAAGGGAAAGGGAGGAGGACAAATAAAAGTTCTCAAGCTTAGTTTACTGAGAGAATGACAATACTATTCAATAGAAACAATGAATCAAGAAGAAAAAATTTGGAGAAAAAATGGTGAGTTCAAAGGACACAAATTTAAAGTTGGAAAGAATCTAGAGGTCATCTTGTCTAAGCCCTTTGGCACTGCCGAGAAGAGAAAACTGAAGACCAAACATTGGTTAAGTGACTTGTCCAAAGTCCCACAGGTAAGGAGCAGAAATCTCATTAAGGCTGAGAGTTTGAGGTGCTAGTGAGATGTCTAGGTGGAAACATCAGTCACTGAAGGTGAGGGGCTGAAGAGGCACAAGACTGGGAGTCATCTGCACCAAAGGTGACTGTGAAGTTGGGCAAGCACAAGAGACAGTACAGGAGAGTGTAGGAGGAAGAGGATGGGGCAAAGGCAAGGACCTGGGGAATTCCTCCACTGAAAAGGCAGGAGGAGGAAGAAGAAACAGCAAAAAAAAAAAAAAAAAAAGAGAGAGAGAGAGATTAAGGAATGGGAAGAAGACAACCAGGATAACAGCAACAAGGGGACCTGGCCTGACCCTCAATGCCTAATTCTCACCTGTTCATTCTTTTTGTGAAGCCATTCCTTGTGTTTTTCCTCCGCATATTTTTTTCTTTTTTCACGCTCTTCCACTTCTTTTCTTTTTTCTTGTTGTAGACTTAGTTCCTATTTTTCAATACAAAAAAGGAGCATCCAATAATGTATTTAAATCACATGTAAAACAATACATAATTATATGTATGACTACATATAACAAAAATGGTACTACTACCCTAAGTGACTGCTAGGATTTAAAATCTTTAATTAAAAAAAAAACTAAGGAAATAGGTACTAATTAATGCACTGCTGACAGAGCTATGAATCCATTCTAAAAACAATTTGGAACCATGCCACAAAAATCACCAAACTGTGCATACCTTTTGATCCAGAAATACCATTACTAGACTTATACTCAAAGAGATCAAAGAAAAAGGAAAAGTATCCATGTAAACAGAATATTTACAGTAGCTCTTTTTGGGGAGGCAAAGAACTGGAAATTAAGGCAAGACCCATCAACTGGAGAATGCTGATATATGAATATAATGAAATATACTATGTTATAAGAAATTATGAAAAATAATGCCTTCAAAGAAAACTGGAAAGAGGTGTATAAACTGATGGATATGTGAAATGAGAAGAGATGGAGGAGAATGATTTATAAAATAACAACTACATTATGAAGACAAACAAGTTGGAAAGATTTTAGATCTCTGATTGATACAATGACCAACCAAGATTCCAGACGACTGATGATGAAATATGCCACTCACTCCTGATAGAGGTAAAGAACTCAGGGTACAAGAAGAGAAATATATTTATTGGATATGACCAATGGGGGAATTTGTCTTGCTTGACTATGCATGGTTGTTACAAGTGTTTTGCTTCCCCTCCCCTCCTCCTTTTTTTCCAAATAGGGGAACAGAAGGGAAAAATTTTTTGCTAATTAAAAAAAAGTAAATTTAGAAAAAATCTAAGTAACTTTTTAGAGATGCAATATCTGCTTAGTACCATTACACTATAAATTTCAACTACACAACTATACTGTATTTTACTGACAGTTTTTCAACATGTAAATTTTAGTACCATAGTATACTACCAACAAGATAACTCAAAAGAACTACTATGATTGGGGGAGGTAATAAGAAAGGCTTCTAAGTTTTTGCTAAAAAGGATAGGAATTAAAGTATCCCTGAAGCTGAATAGTTAAGAGATTTCAAACCTAGGTCACAGAAGGAATTTTTCTTGAAGAAGAAAAGAATTCCTACAAATTTTTCAGTGACATTATAGTAACTGGGGCATAAAATGAAACTGACTTCATATCCTTGACTATTTAACTGCTTTGTCATCTCTTGACTCTGCAAGTTTGAGCACTTCTTCCAGAGAAAGAATGTGAACGGTACAGAGAGATAAACCTACAACCAGAATTTCATCAGTTTGTCATTCCTTAGGGCATGCAACTTAACTGTATTAACTCTGAGCCTGGTCCAGTTTGGACAGCTTAAAAACTTAGTCATTTACTGATTATTTTTCTTTCCTCTTCATGAATGCAGCTCTTAAATAGTTTCCTACCTTCTCCTATTACAAACCCTGGACTGAGTGAGACACAATTTCTCAATTCCCTACAGCAGAGGTGTCAAAACACACAGACCGAAACACACCCCAAGTGTGGTCTGAACCAGATTAAAATGTGATTTGGAAATATTTAACAAAATAAATAAAAATACAATAAGACATAAATAATGTTAACATGTGATTTTCTAAGTCAGTATGTGCCCTCAGGGATCCTAATGAACAGTTTAGTGGTCCTGGTTTCTATTTGAGTTTGACACTACTTCCCTAAAGAATCATTTACTTAAAAAAAAATAATACCCATCATTCCAAGTTCCCAACCAATAGAGTCCTACACTAGCAACATAGATTCTGCATAAAAGACCAACTCCTCCCCCATGGGTCCATCCCTAAAGTTAGGCAGTCACTCAACAAGTATTTATTAAGCACCTAATATGTGCCAGGACTATGCTAAGCATTGGGGATGCAAGGAAAGGCAAAAGACAGAGCCTGCCCTCAAGGAGCTCACTGTCTAACGGGGGAGGCAAAATGCAAACTACTAGGTACAAACACACTATTTATCAAATAAACTAAAGACATTCTTAGAAGGAAAGGCACTGGCATTAAGGAGGATCAGGGAAAGCTTATTGCAGAAGGTGGGATTATTATATTAGCTAAAATATGAAGGAGCAAAGTGAAGTCAGGAGTTGGAGAGAATTCCAGGTCTAGGGGACAGCCAGTGATACCAGCCTCTTTTGCTATTTTTAGTACAAGACTCTCCTTCCTCTGACTGTGGACATTTTCATTGGCTGTAAGAAGTCTGGAAAGACAGGAAACGGTCAGGTTATGAAGGACTTTAATAGACAAAGGGAAGATTTTATATTTGATTCTGAAAAGAATAGGAAGCCACTGGAGTTTACTGAATAGGAGAGTGAAACGATGATCTCCCTTTAAGACATTAACTAACATGTGAACTAATCTACCCTCAATTCACTTTGAAACAGCTTTTCCAACTGTCAAAAACCTAATTATCAATTATCCTTCCTTTTTCATCACAAGTACATTTCCTGAAACATTCTTGCAATCTATTTGGAGAGGGAAAAAAACCAACACACAGAAAAGTTAATAATTTGAGAGCAAAAATACGAATTAAAGTAATGAGTGACTCCATTTTTTCAAGGTTCTAATGCCTAATATGTGATCCATTCTTTGGTATTATTAAGTATGAAAATATATGTGGGTAATTGTGCTAGGTAAGAAGCTCTTAACCCCATACTGCAGATAGATCGTAAAGTAGCAGTCAAGGTCTAATATTTGGACTTTCACAGTTTTTTACTCAGACGTATGCCTTTTTCTGATGCCTAAAACATAGAGCAAGGAGTGAAAAATACAAGATAGATTTAATAAGAAAAATGAAGATGGACTCATTTATCTCTGGGAAGCAGCATACGAATTCAGCAGGATCAGAATTGGACTTAGGAGTCAAGAGACCTTGATTCTGGTCCCAGATTTAAAATAAACTTGCTAAGTGACCCTGGGAAAGTCATTTAACCTTCTAAGTCTCATTTTCTAATGTGCCCAAGGAAAGGAGTAGGTTTTCTTGATCTCTGCCTCTTCCCCTTGCACAAGGGATTAGTATCAATGAATGTCCCTTGAAATTGAATGAAAGCAAATACTTAACATCAAGGCTGACATAAAATATTAAACACTGATGTAACCAAATGCAAAAATTATCTTGTTTATTATTAGGACACTAAGGGGATTCATGGAAATTTTCACTTAAACTGAGAAATACATCTACAAACTCATATATGGCTATTAAGAAAAAAAAAAATTAAAAAAAAAAATAAACAAAACTCGCTTTTACCTCCAAGGCTCTGTTTTGTAGACGAGCACGTTGTTCTTTTTCTTTGCAAACAAACCACTCTTCCCATGGTGTCAGACTCGCCTCTAATACAAGCCATTGATGTTCTTTTTCTGAATTTTCTCTTTCTTTAATTCTGTTGAAAAAGAAGACATTCTAAATTGTTTAATAAATAGTTGTTGACCTAATAGTCAAACTGATTTATAGAGTAAAAGTGAAATGTAATACACCTTTTATTATATTCAATAAGGAGACTTACATTTTGAAGGAGTTCATAAAAAGTGAAACCTTCAAATTTTCCCCAGCATGACCACCAGAAAGCCAGTCATCAAGGTTAATGAATGTTTTCAGCCACAACAATTCATAAAGACCGTGTGTCCTAAGGGTTTATGATTAGCTTTGCTAGGGACAAACCACATCAATAAAATCAAAAGACATTAAGTACTAACAAGTGAGCTATCTTTGTATTTACACATGACATATAGGAACTAGCCAGAATTATTTTTTTTAATTCCTTTCAGAAACCAAAATTTTACTTCAAGTTAAAGTAAAAAGGGCAAGAGACTTCAGAGTTAAAAGACCAGGGTTTCAGTTTCAGCTCTGACACTTAGTTAAGATGCATGACCACAGGCAAGTCATCCTTCTGAGGCTCAACACATTTATTCTTATTGATAAAATGGGGATTATGATATTTTTTACCATCTTATCTACCTCAAAAGACTATTATGAGGAAATCACACAGTCTACCTTAAAATAACATGTTAGCTGTCATTTAATTCTCCATAAAAATCCTACTGTAATGCCTCATCATAGTATGAAGATAAGCCTGGGGTCTCAAAGGTTACACTAGCAACATACTATATGGCAGATTCTACCATGTTGAAAAGGCTTTGAGTATGGTTCTAGGGACAGACTGTGTCTGCCTTCAAAGAACCAAGCTAATAACTAAACTAAAACTAATCACCAACAGGTTGGCCACTAGGAAATGAAGTATTTGGCTTGGCAACATATGAAAAAAACCCCAGTAATACATGGTTCTCAGTCATAGACAATAGCCTTCCATTTCTGCCGTGTCAGTGGTGGAATGGCACAAAAGGGAGCAGAGGGTATGAAGTTTCATTCATTATTTAGACCATCTATCTATAAACACTGATTCAGTTGAAGTTACTATGAATATGAGATCGCTATCCCAAGATTAAGGAACTGATATACTACTGGGAGAAATAAACCATCTCAATATCACTGTTCTCACAATAAATGGAACCAGAAGACAAAAGGAAGCCTCAGCTAAATGGAAGGATGGACTACAGGGTCTTATTGGAGAGGCAAATAAAAGAATTAATGGAGTTGGTTTCATAACTATTTAATCCAACAACTATCATTCAGTGTCTATGTACAAAGCAGTATGACAAGCATAGAAGCCATTTGAACAAAATAAAATATATTCTCTGCCCTCAGAGAGTTTCTATTTTATTGGAAGGATATGACATGGAAGCAAATAGGAACATACATAATATCTTGAGGACTGAAGAGAAAGCACTAACTAGCAGATCAGAAAAGGCTTCTTACAGAAAGTAACACAACCTGAGCTTTGAAGGAAACCAAGGATATTCTAAGAGGTAGAGGTAGAGGTAGAGGGATAAAAAAAAAGAGTGCAGTGAACTCCAAGCATGAAAAGATGGTGGAAGATATAAGACCTTCCATATCAGGTAAAAGCAAATCAGCCAGCTTGGTTGGAATGACGTGTCAAGGATGATGTATTGCCAGACAGTGAAGGGCTTTAAATAGCAACATCAGAAGTTAACTTTTTCTCCTAGAGGAAGTAGGGGATTGAAGGCTTTTGAGCAGAGGAGTGACGTGGTAGAACGTGTGTTTTAGGAAGACTACTTTGGCAGCTGTATGGAGGATGTATCAGAGAAGGAAGAGATTGAAAATTAAAGGACATTAATTAGGCTATTACAATAATCCAGGTGAGGTGATGAAGGTATGAGCTAAAGAGGTAGCCACATGAATGGATAAAAGAAGACAGTTTTAGTGAAGGGAGAATCAACAACGCATGACAAATGATTGGTTATGATGGGTAAAGATGAGGAAAGAGTTAAATATGACAATGTGACTGTGAAACTGGGTGACCAGAACAGTAATGCACTAAATAGAAACAGGAAAGTTTAGCAGAGAACAAAGTGTTGCAGCAAATCTAATGGATTCAGTTTTTAAGCATGTTGAGTTTGAGATGCTTAAAGGATACTTATTTGGGAGATGTCTGGCAGGAAGACCACATAGCTTGAGAGAAGATCAGACCTTGTCTCATTTCCTGCATTTCCATTTCAAAGTGTCTTCTGACCTCTTCACTGAGAATGTCTTTTGGACTAGTCATCCAAGATCTTCTTTCTTTTACTATGGTAACTACCAAGTACAGTGTGATCTTGACTGAGGTGGTTTTTATTTAGGTCAAATTCAGCTCCTGTACTCCGGGCTGCTGGGGGCTTTCCTAATTAATCCTAAATTTGAATGGCTAAGACTAGACCCCATTTTCTTTAGGAATTGTCTGGCCCATTGCCCCTGCCTTCTATTGTAGCTGGGGCCCCTGGGTTACTCAATACGTGGCACCACTCTGGGCCTATCTCTAATAGCATGGTCAGATAGATTTGGAACTGGTAGATCAATCAACCCACAGAATGTTGATTAATAGAAAATGTCAACTTGAAAGGAGTTAGTTTAAGGTCAACCAAAAAGCAAGTGTGTTGTGGGCCTCTCTGTTTGGCCCTGTTGTACTCAACAGGTTTCTCAATGATTCAGAAGATGACATAAACGGTTTACCAGACCTGTAGGTAGCTCAAAAAGGGGAGGTATAATTAATATAGATGATAAATGGATCAGGACCCCAAACAAAACAAACAAAAACAACTACCATGGTAAGACAGAAAAACTGAATGAATCTAATAAAAATTTAATAGGGCATACGAAGCTGGGCACTTAGTTTCAAAAAGTTAATCGAGTAAGGACATAAGGAAGAAGGTATGATTGGAACATAGTTCATGTGGAAAATACCTAGGGGGTTAGTGGGCTGCAAAAGTACAACTGAGTCAGGAGCGTGAAGAGGCAGCCAAAAAAGCTAATGAGATCTTAGGCAACATTAACAGAAATAGTGCCAAGAATGAGGAAGGTATTATACTATTATCTGTCCTGGTCAGAGCACAAGAAGAGCACCATATTCAGTTCCAGATAGCACATTTCAAGAAAGACTGACAAATTAGAGAGCTAAGATTTACAGAAGGAACAGGAGATATTTAGCTTGAAAATGTAGGGGGTTCTTGACCACAGAAGCAACATATGGAAGGATTTGACTTCTGTTTGTCCCCAGAGGGTAAAACTAGCACCCCTGAAAATAAGAGGCAGATTTAAGTTGAATATTGGGAAAATTTTCATAATGATTAGAGTAGCCTAAAAACAGAATGGACTACATTATGAAGTGGTGAATTAAGGTCTTTTCCTGCTCTAAAATTCCATCTAAAAAATCCATCATATTGTACATATGTCTAACATCCATTGAGATGCAGACCACACACACATACATACATACATACATACACACACACACCCAAGCTCTAAGATCACTTCCAACTCTAAGTTTCTATGATTCTATTAACTTTTAATATTAATACCATACGCCCACACCAAGACAGATTTGCACCAAATGCAAAGGGTTTCGGGCAGCCTGTGAAAAATGTAGAGGAAAATATCCTTTACATTTTTCGCAGGCTGCCCGAAATCCTTCGTTGTGCCCTTGGGCCCCTTACACAGGTTGTGAAGGCCTGGTCTAGGGTAAAGTACACTGAGTGGACAGATTTGGGTTTTAATCCTATTCCTCCTACTAAACAGCTTTTCAACTCTGAGAAGACACTCAACTTTCGTTGGGTCTTAGTTTCCCCATCTTCAAAATGATGGATAGACATTCTTTAAGGTTCCTTCTGACTCTAAACTATTACTTCCATCACATTATATGTAGGTAAATGACATGACTTGATAGCAAGATTGAAAAGTAATTGGATTCTATACCCAAAGGATTAAAAGTTGAACAGGAACTCAAAAGATCACCCAGTCCAAACCCTTCATCTTGGAGTGAAGGGAAACAGGGCTTAGAGTTTAAGTAATTTGCCTAAGGTCACACAAGGAGAAAGATAAAGCTCAATCTAAACTCTAGTTTTCTGACTCCAAATTCAAAGCTCTTTACTTCCTATGCTGCCTCCCTAGAAATCTTTGGATGTACTGGCTAACTTCTCAGTATCTACAATACAGAGATATTGTGATTCACTAGATCTACCTCATAAATAATCAATTTGGGGGTGGGGGTGAACCTGAAATTTCATCAGTTTATAGAAACTGCCTCCTCCACCAGCCTACCACCACTGCTTGTCATCTGGCTTTCCACAACTGTGGAAGTGTTGCCTGGGAACTCTTACCAGTTACATAACTCAGCTGCCTATGGTGATACAACTAGTACGTTCCAGAAGCAAGAACTCAATGAACCAAGGTGTTCTTGACCCTTAAGGCTAGTCTTTTATCCAATAAGCCAAGTTCCCTTGCATCACCTTGAAACAGTAGGATTCAATTTCAATTTTACTAGCATTTACTAAGCTTCTACTCTGTTCACTATGGAAATAACGATAAACTCTCACCGCCTAAAGATACCAGGAGTTCCTTTTCAGGGGTTCTAAAAACTTCTTTTTGTGTGAGGGGGTTTCTGGAACGAGAAGGAAACTAGTCCTGTGATTTTCCTGGGAGTTCCCAGCAAAAAACTTCTGCCAAGTACAGATCAGCAGGCCCTTCACACCCCTCTCCTCCCCCTCCAATTCCTTGTAAGTGATGATCTTAAAAGAGTCTCTTGGGGCCCTGAATTAAGTGGCAAGTCCAGTCCACACAGGCAGTACATGTCAGAAGCAGAACGTGAATCCAGGTCTTCCCGCCCAGCCCTCTTTCTGCCTAGGTTTTCGAAGCTGAATGTGTTTTACAAAAACGGATGGGATCAAAGACTCAGAACAGCAAAGGGTCCTTAGAAGTCATCTAGTCCAATACCTTGGTTTGACAGATGAGTAAAAGGAGGCCCTGAGAGGGGAGAGGTCTCATGTGGAAATACAAATATTAGAAGATAAGAGAATCAGGGCTCAGAGTTGGGAAGACCTTGCCCAAGGTGGAAGGGAGGGAGGAAGGAAGGAAGGGAAGGGGAAGGAAGGAAGGAAGAGAGGGAAGAAAGAAAGGAAGAGAGGGAGGTAGGGAGGAAGGAAGGAAGGAAGGAAGAGAGGGAGGGAGGGAGGAAGGAAGGGAGGGAGAGAGGGAAGGAAGGAAGGGAGGGAAGAAAGAAACGAAGAGAGAGAGGGAGGGAGGAGGAAGAGAGGGAGGTAAGGAGGGAGGAAGGAGGGAGGGAGGAGGGAGGAGGGAGGGAGGGAGGGAGTTCAGCAGGTCCAGCGGCCTGGGCTGAGGCCAGGTCAGCGGGGGCGTGACCAGGAGGAGGGGGAGGTGGCCTGCGTGGCCGGCCCGGCCCGGCCCAGCCTCAGCGTCCTCCGAGGTGCGCTCCGCTCCCGGGGAAGGGCCAGGCCGAGGGGCGGGTCCTTTACCTGGCGCGCCCCGAGGTCTCCCCTCCTTCCGAGGACGCGGCCCTCCCCCTCGGGCCGGCCTCCTCGCTCTCCTCCTCCCCAGGAGGCGGCGGCGCTTTCTCCTCCGCCCCGCCGGGCTCGGGCTCGGGCCGGTGCTGCCTCCGCCCCCGGCGCTGCTGCCGCTCCTCGGCGCCGTCGCTGTCGCTCTGCAGCAGGGACGGCGGCGAGGCGGGCGCCGGGCTCGAGCCGCCAGGGGCCTCCCCTCGCCTGCGCGGCGGCGGCGGCTGCGCGCCCTCCTCAGTGTCCATGGCCGCGGCGGCGCCGCCGGGGCCGGGGCCGGAGCCGGGGCGAGGGAGGGGGAGGGGAGGCGGAACGGAACCCGCCGCTGAGGCCAAGGCCGCCGTCGCCGCCAAGTTCAAACCGGCGCTGCCGCCGCGGCAGGAACGCGCTCCCAGGAGGCACCGCGCCGCCCGCCGCTGCAGCCAATCCGGGGCCGGGGCCGGCACGCGTTGCCAGGGCAGCGCGCGGACACCCCCTCACCCCACGCCGCCGGGGGCTTTGTTTCTCCCCGTCCTTAGCTTCAGCTCGGTCCCATAGCGTGCGCGTCTGCGTCCGGCGTACGGGTGGCGCTGTGGGGCTTCGACCTGGCACCGCCCCCAGTGGCCTCAGCCCCCCTTTGGCAGTGAGTGACTTGCAAGGCCACGCCCCCAGGGCGTCCCCCCCCCCCCCGCCCCCGCACTCCAGGATGGAGGGGATCTGGGAGTCCAGAGTACCTAAATGTCTTCTTTGTGTCATGGGACCCTTTGCTCTTAAGCGCCTACTGTGTGCTGGCTACTGTGCTAAGCCCTCAGGACACAAAGGAAAAAAAAAGGCAATGAACATTATTAAGCACCACCTGTGTGCCAGGTACTCCGCTACAACTGCTCAAGATACAAAGGGAAGGAGTCAATGAACATTCATTAAGCGCTGGGGATACAAAGAAAAAAAGAAAAGAATGAACATTTATTAAGCACCAACTACGTGCCAAGCAAATAATAGTGCTGAGAATACAAAGAAAGGCGAAAGACAATCTCCACTCTTGACTAGATGTCTATGATGGGGGAGACAACCTGAAAATAAGAAGGTATGTGTGAATACATATGTATACATCATATACGTATATACACATATGCATACATACAACATATACATAACATACGGGGAGAGAGAGAGAGCCTGTATAAGCTGGAGCCAATGCACAGGGAGAAGGCATCTTGCTGGGGCTTGAAGGAATCCCGGGATGCCAGGAGATGGGTAGTCTGTGGAAGCCTTCTCAGAAGAATGCTTTTAGATTAATAAATTAAAATACATAGGATTACAATGAAACTCCTTTTTTAAAAAGTTCATAGGTCCCAGGGGAAGAACCTCCTGGACAATAGGGATTCCTTCATTCTCTGTATTTCATCCCCAACGATGAGCTCCTGACAGGCATTTCATAAATACTTGGTGACTGATTGAATGAATCAGCTGGAAGGGAGCCTAGAGGTCATGGAGTCCATCCTCTTCATTTTACAAATGAGGAAACTGAGGGTCAGAAAGGTTGAGTAGGCTCAGACAGGGTTCAAACTCGTCTCCCCAATGCCAAACTCAGCAAGCACTCTATCTGCTGCAACATGTTATAGCTGAGGAAACTGAGGCCCAGAAAGGTACAGTGTCCAGGACACATACCCAGCTCTGGAATAGATGAGCTAAAATTCATAGGAACAAAGACTACAGAACTGGAAAGTACCCCAGAGGCTACCTAGTTCAAACCTCATTTTGTAAAGGAGGAAACTGAGGCACAGACAGGGATGTGATTTACCCAAGGTCACAGAGGTACTAAGCAGCAGAGATAATGCTGGAACCCAGGTCATGCCTTCCCAGATCTAGTGCTTTCTCCTCACAGGGTTGTTAGGATCAAATGAGATATTTATAAAGTGCTTAGCACTGTGCCTGGCACATAGTAGGTGCTTAGTAAGTGCTTGGTTCCCTTCCCCTTCCTCCCTTCTCTTTGTTTCTATTCTAAATTCTAAATCTTAGCTCTGGAACCAGAAGATACCTCAAAGATCCAACCTCTGGTCCAAAATGGGACAGAAAAAGTTGCTCTAGGACACAAATTCCGGGCTAGAATTTAACTCAATTTCACTGACTCCAAGTCTTGTGCCCTTCCCTTTAGCATTCTATCCCTACTACATTTTGCAGATGGAGGGAAGACCTGGGAGATCTTCTAATACAGTGCCTTCATTTTACAGATAAGGAAACCGTTACCCAGTAGGGTCAAGGGATTGCCCAAAGACACATAGCAGAGCCTGTGCTCTCTATATCAAAGTCCCATGCTCTGTTCGTGTAGCCCACAAGTGTTCCAGAGCCAGAGAATCACATTCCCAACTCAGGTGGTCTTGCCACTTAGCAGGAAGAAATTGTTGATAACAAGAACCCTCTCTGTTTATCAACTCTTACACTATAATAGAATTTCAATTATTACTTGTTGGGGATTTCAGTAAAATTTAAGCTTCCTGAAGGCAGGGACTTTGTGGTCTTGGTCTTTGTATCTCCAGCACACTCACCATAGTGCCTTTGCAGAATAGACTCAATAAATGCTTTTTTAACTTGATTGAGGGTATATTTGTACATATAGAAATATAAATGCATTTAAATTTCAAGGTGAAACTTACATAGATCTATCTAAAAGAAAAAGGGAGTAGGAAAGAAACTACCACCTCAAAATTGGATTATCAACGCCCTTCTATTATGTGTTGATTTCCAATCTTTGTTTACTCTTGGCATTTGGACACAAATTTAGTAAAGACGCCAGGAAAAAGTTAAAAATCATTTATTTAGGCACTGCCCTTGTTTGATCAATTAGCCATGCTGTGCACCTGTAGTAGCGACTCATGAGATTATAAATATTTGATTGACTGCCCTATGGATAAGAGATTAAACTTGTTCTGCTCAACCCCAGAGGGCAGAACCAGGGGTCATGGGATGAAGCTGTTCAGAAGCAGATTGTGAGTCGGGGGAGGGGAAAAAATTTCCTAACCATTAGAAATGTCCAAAAGTATGAGAGGGAGAGAGAGGCAGTAAGCACTCCATTCATGGGAGTCTTCAAGCTGATGCTAATGACCACTTGTCAGGGTTACCAGGCTGGAGGTCCTGCTCAGGTACAGGTTGGACTAGATGACCTGTCCCTTTCATTTCTCGAGATTCTATAATTTAACCTTTATTTATATTTAAATTTATAATTTAAGATTCTATAATTTAATCTTTTGGGAAGAAGTATTTTCAATCAGCAAATTTGCCCTAATTTTAACCACTTTGGTTAGAAGTCTTTCAAGAAACATATTTATTGACTTTTAAAACAATCTACTCAGATATTCATATGGATCTCTCCTCATCCATTTGGGCAGTCCTTCCAACAATGCATATCACAGCCCATCCGTGCCTATATATCCTATACATTCTTGTCTATGTCTTCCCCATATATTTACCACAGGGGTCCACCCAACATGCTCAAGCCCGTCCTCTCTTTTTTCTAACATTTCAAAGTCACCAGTGGAGTACCTGGGGTGTCCACCTGTGATCCCTTGCTGTCCCCTTGCCACATGCCCATTTTAACTTTTCAACAAACAATTCCCCAATGACAACCACTCATGTTCTTCAAAGTTCCTCATTGGTCATAGCCTGCTCGCACCCATCATCTACTTCTTCATTACTTTCTATGTGAAAGTGATTTTGAGCTCTTCAGAGACTGTTCATGTGTCACAGCCACACAACATCAGTAAAGTATTAGTATTCTTGGAAGACTGCAGAGCCTTCTGGAAGAGATCCATAACCACATAAAAGTTTGGCCTAACCATCCACAAAGGAAAAACCAAGTGGATGAACAGTGTTTATTGCTGACATTCTAATGGCAGAGACCACATGCTAGATACAAATAAGCTATAGACAGGATAAATTGGAAAAAAATCAACAGAGAGAAGGCAGTAAAATTGAGACACATCAGGAAAGACTTCCTGTAGAAGGCAGGTTTTTAACGAGATTTGAAGGAAGCCAGGAGGCAGAGATGAGGAAAGATCTTCAGGAAATTGTAAAGCTTCCTAATGACCTCAAACTCCTCCTGAAAACAAGGTCCTAGCTTTTAATAAAAATATTGAACATAAGTTGTCTTTGATGAATCCAGGCCACTCCTCAGACTATCAATTGCTATACCATAATTTAGTGATGCTTCCAGAAGCTGTTGAAGTACAAGACTCTTTATACCAGTCCACTCCCTTTTTTTTAGTTCCTTATTTGCCTCTAGCAACACTGAAAGCTACCTACTTACTGGTTTACTGGCTAGACTTCTTTCCCAATGACCAAGTCTTAAACTCAGTTCACTTCAGATCTCATGGATTGGACAGCAAAAGGTCCCTGCCCAAGCACCACTTAATGTTTTTTGTTTTGTTTTTTGGGGGGGCCCTCCTGACTCACAGTGAATGTAAATAGTAACTGTTTCTCTTTTGGCCAGAGACCCTAAAACTCCCAGTTTGATTTTTTTTTTTAAATTAAAGGGGCCATCCCTTGACTCGCTTTTTTTTTTTTAAAGGATAGGCAATGGGGTTAAGTGACTTGCCCAAGGTCGCACAACTAGTAAGTGTTATGTGTCTGAGGCCGGATTTGAACTCAGGTCCTCCTGAATCCAGGGCTGGTGCTCTATTCACTGCGCCACCTAGCTGCCCCCCCTTGACTCACTTCTTAAAGTGACCCACTCACCGAATGGGTGTTGCCTCACTCAAAGTGAGAACCTGTAAAGACCTTAGCTTAAAAAGGTCAAGGTCTCCCACTGCATCCTGAGCCACCTCCAGGCATCCTGATCAATATCTGGCCACTGGACCCAGATAGCTCCAGAGGAGAAAGTGAGGCTGGTGACTTTGCAGAGCCCTCCCTCACTCAAAACAAAGTCAATTGCAAGTCATGTCATCATCTCCCTGATGTCATGGTCTTTGAAAATGAAGGACAAACCACAATTTGCCTCTAGCAGCCTAATTACCCCCTTCTGATGGTATGCCTTGGGCTAGATTGAGTAGATATACTATTGTTGTTGAGTCTGTAATGTCCAGTGACCCCACTTGGGGTTTTCTTGGCAAAGATGTTGGATTTGTTTGTCATTTCCTTCTCCAGCTCATCTTACAGATAAGGAAACTGAAGCAAACAGAGTTAAGGGACCTGCCCAGGGTCACACTGCTAGTAGGTGTCTGAGGCCAATTTGAACTCAGGAAGATGAGTCTTCCTGACTTCAGGCCCTGTGCTCTATCTGCTAGCTGCCCCAGATATACTATAGTAGATATAATTTTAGTAACGATCAAAAACAATCAACAAGCCTCTCTTAAGTGATAACTATGTACCAGGCACTATTCTAAGCACTGGAGAAACAAAGACAACAAAACAAAACAATACAAAGATTGAATGAGGGCCTAAAAGGCAATTCTGAATAACCTGCATAAATGACAGCAATTTTGGCTTCTTAGTAGCTGATAAATCCTTATAAATTTACCAGAAAAGGGGCCTCTGGATTCAAAAGTAACTTCCTAAGTCATATGTCTGACCATGTCATGTATACTGGCTCTCTCTCTCTCTCTGTCTCCCTCTCTCCCCTTCCCCACCCCCAACCTCAGTAGCTTCCCATTTTAATCCTCCAGGATCAAATGGAAACTCCTGTTTGGCCCCTTTCTATATTTCTAGTCTTCTTATAATTTACTCCTCTCCACAACACTCCACTCCTAACCTCATGCATTTTC